ATGTTAAGCAATTTTAACCCCACAATAATAAGAAGGCAAAGAAAAGCATGGATAAGGGGCAACAACTCATGAAAGTCATGGAAAAAAAGTTTAAAATTTGCCCCCGAAAGTACCCCTTTTGGACTAGATGCCGAATCATAGAGGGCATTGCAAGAAACATTATTAAGTCGGAGGTAAATTTAACACTATTACTAGTGGATTGCAAGCTGATTGGGTTGCGCAAAGATGATGACTCAAATTGATAGTATCAAAGAAGTCTCTGAAAAGTAATAGTAGGCTTTTTCCTAATAATGGCAAGTCTCCCATGGCCACTTTCGGGCTAATGACTTTGCACAACTAGTTTTATGGAATATATGCCCAATTGGATTATTTATGATGGACCTAATTGACATGTACTACGTAGGAGATGCATGATCTCATTTAGGATCTTACATGTGAAACACATGGTTATGCAAAGACAAGCTAGAAATTCATTTATCAACAAGACTTTTTACTAGTTAGGATGAGCAAAAGTCATGTTGTGATGCCCCTGCTCAAGGAAGGGCTTCTTAATTGGTAGAAATTGGAGAAAGATGCCCCAATATTATAGATGTTCCTCTTGTTTGTCATGTAAAATAGATAAATAAATTATAGAACCCAAACAAACAATATATTTTTTTAGTTATTAGGTGAGATGCATTCCATTAACAACACAATAGTTGCATGTGAAAGATCGTGTTGATAGAGGGGCTGAGATTAAGCGCCTTCACTTCAAATGATAACTCTCATACAATAAAAAAAGCACAAAATACATAATTTTTTAGATGACCCATAGAAGTTAAAAACCATAAGGCCAAACCCAATCAAAGGATTTCCACTAATTAAATTTTGGAATTAAAATTGACCAACATTCCTTAAAATTAGAGAAGGTGCTAGTAAAATATAGAAAGCTTGAAATGAAAAATGACCCTTCTTACTATTGGGTGACTAATCCGAAGAGCATTTGGTGTAAACAACTATGAAGGGCAAGGGCAGTTGAAATAGTTCTTCAAAATGGAAGGGGGATTGAGCATCTTGAGTTGGAGAAAACAAAACACCTTGTTAGATGATTGGATTTGACAATTGACTATAATAGACGAGAATGCAAAAATGGTTGATTGGAAGCTTCACTAAATAGCCAAGGTTTTGGAATTCAATATGAACTCAAGAGTTTAAAACATGAAAAATGAGATGAATTAATACTTATTTATATATTTTGTAAGCTTATTTTGATAATTATCTCTGATTATATTAGAATATTCTTAATTTATTTTAATAATCAAAATAGGCAAACAATCGTTCATACATGTTAATGGTCTACCGTTAGTGCGACAACAATCATAAAAAATGTATTATCCTTTTCAATAAATTTAATAACTTATTTGAAATTCTTGGCCCCAAGAACTGATAAGGACATCGACAATCTACGGCTACGATCGTGTCTATTTATTTATTTTTTTGATATATTTTATGTATTAAATTTGTTTGTTCTTTTTCCCTTTCTACCCTCACTTGAGGGCTTTATCTTATATATGCCCTAGGGGCAATTATGTCTTTTTATTTCCCTTGTTGTATGTGGCTATTCAAGCCTTTTCCCTCCTCTTGGAGTGGGCAATGATGATAATGAATGAAAATTCCAGCTTTTGTTTAATAGATCTCTTTGTGAGTTCTTGAGAGGAGAAACTCTAGGAGAGGGTCAAGCATCACCCGTCAGTCGTCGATGGATTCCAGGACTCGCGGTTTGTAACCTTTGTTATTTTATTCCTTTGTCTTTATCCCCTCATTTTCCTACTTCCATCTCCAGCCACCATCGCCGAGCCTACCAAAACCACTTGATTATCCTCCCTTCACCTTCCCACTGTCGGCCTCCTCCACCCAAAGCCCATAGCCGCCGGTCCACTCTAACTCCACCTCCCCGTCTCTAGCCGGCTGCCCCCTTATTCCCCACCCCGAAATCTCCCAGCCGCCTATTCCCACCATCCCGCGCCCACCTAGTTCCGGCCAGCCCTCCCCACTGCCTAGCTCCACAGTCCAGACCATCTTTCCCCACTAAACCGCCAATTCCTTTTCCCCCCATGTTCTCCCCCTCCTTGAATGATGAATTAATTCATCATTAATACTTGCCTAAAATAGATTAAGTGATTTGAGAAATTAATCTCATCAATTTGAAATTCAAATTTTGAATTTCAAATAATTTCCTAAATTACAAAGCCAAATTAGGCAAGTCTTGAATCTAATCCCAATTTAATTTTAAATTGGGTTGGAATGATTTATCTCATCCCAAACTCCACTTCCGTCCAAAACCCCTTCCTTCCTAATTTGGATTATTTTTAATTTAGAAAGAAGTTCGAATTCAAATTAATCAAGTTTGAATTTCAAATCTTTCATAATTAATTACACCATATTTGGAAACCCCCTTCATTCAATCAATTAATCAATCCTAAAATTAATTGATTAATTGCTCAATAACTCACATACATTGAACCTAGACATAATTTACCCTCCTCTCTCTTTATGGCCGGCCCCTCTTCCCCTCTTGCTTAATTATTTCCTTCCTTATTGTAGGCTTCAATTAGGGAAATAATTAAACACCCCATTGTCCTTCCCCTCCTCTCTTATTTGAATTTCAAGATTCAAATCCCTAACTAAGATAAATCTGAAAATAACTTCAGATTTTTCCCTCCACCACAAGCCACAAAATCTGAGACTATGTTCAGATTTCCTTTTCTGGAAAGCCACCCCCTAATCCTGCTCTTCCCTAAATCGTGACCTAGGGAGGAATTTTCTGCCAACACTCCACTACTATCCAACCTCTGTTCATCCACAAGGAGCTGTCCAGAGAACTACAGCAAGTTCCTTTGTGTCCCAAAGTCCAGGATCTCAATTTTTGGCTGTCCAAAAGAAATTCCAGCCAGCTTCCCTCGCTGCCCAACAGTCCGGCAACTTCCGTTTGCTGTCCGAGAGTCTTCACACAGTTGTCGGGTTCTTCATATTCGAAAAATTCTGACGGTGGTGAGCTAATCCTCTAAATCATTTATCTTCCTAGTCGTCTTCGGTTGTGGTTTTAATTTGATCCACTAGGACTGTGTTAATTCTCTCCGCTAAAGTCCACTATATTAGAGAGTTGAGTGAGGGATATCTCTTAATGACTAATCTCATTGTTAGTTTGGGATTATCGTTGAAAATCAACCTCGTACACAATGTTAGATTAATTGATTGTTTTACGATCTTAACTCCTATGCATATGATTTAGCCTAAGTTTGTTTCATCACCTTATTGTCTTATCTTAGCGTTTAAATCAACATAAGTTTTATTTAATATTGTTCTTGAAATATTAAGCATGCAAATTTCCATAAGCAACTCATCTTCACATGTATGTCTCACATCAAGAACCCAACAACAACAACAACAACAACATCAAGCCTTTATCCCACTACGTGGGGTCGGCTACATGAATCCTTTTTCTCCATTGTGTCCTATTAAAAGCCAAATTCTCGTTTAAATCTAATAAAGAAAGGTCATTCCTAATATTTTCTAACCAAGTCTGTTTAGGTCTACCCCTACCTTTCTTAACACAAGTCAAATCTAATACCTCTACTCTCCTAACTGGGTCGTCAGAAGGCCGCCTTTTTATGTGACCAAACCATCTAAGGCGACTCTCTCTAATCTTATCTTCTACTGGAGCTACTCCAACCTTTTCACGTATATGCTCATTTCGTATCCTATCTCTAAGGGTAAAGCCACTCATCCATCTAAGCATCCTCATCTCTGCCACACTTAACTTAGTATTATGCTTCTCTTTTAATGGCCAACATTCGGCACCATAAAGCATTGCAGGCCTCACTACCATCTTATAAAATTTTCCCTTAAGTTTGAGGGGTACATTTCTATCACATAACAAGCCCGATGCATTCCGCCACTTCAACCATCCAACTTGAATTCTACTGATAATATCCCCATCTATTTCACCATCATAGATGGCCAACATTCGACATCAAGAACCCAACAAAATACAAAATGCAATTCTAGCAATCAAATTGACGAAAATAATTTTGAGATGATTTAGGGATCAAACTTAAAGTTTGTGAAGAACAACAATAATATGAAACATCTTGAGATCAAAATAAGATCATATCGAGAGAATCCAATTTCACAAATAACTCATGAATCAAAGCCTGGTAGAAGCAACAATAATGTTAGGAAGGAATAAGGATCAAAGTTAGGAAACCCTGAAAATAGCAATGATTCACCTTTTAGTTGAAATATTTTCCCCTAGAATAGCAATCCAACATCGTTGATAATTCATGGATTGGAGAATGTAAATCACATAGAACTTTTACAAAGTTCAAATCAAGGTGAATGAGTTGGACCAAATTTAATATAAAATCAAGATGAACACCACCAAGCTCCTTGAAATGAGAATGGGATGAACCGAAGATCAATTTAATGAATGCCTTGGTCATTGCATCAATGGAACCAACCGTCACCTTTAACCCACAAAAAATCAACCCTAGGGCCGATCATGTGAAGGGGATTAATTATGCACCCCCTAGGTTGGTCCAATACAACCCACCTCAAACCAAGTAAAGCCTTGGACAAAGTTGAATTTTGACAATTTTGGCATCTTTGGAATCATCACATTGAGGCAGTTATTCTTATGATAAATCTATAATAATCAAAGTTCATCTAGCCTAGAGATTGAATTTTGAAGTTCTAATTTTGAGTCAATTCAATCCTCCGAGTGCTTTTAAAATCAAAATTCATGCTTAATCAAATAAATTTTGACAACCCACTAATACATATATATATATATATATATAAGTAATAGTTGCAGGACAAAACATATTGTTCTCTTTCAAATAGTCAAAAGAACACACAATCAAAATCTATGATAGATATTATTTCTTAAACCTAAAAAAGAAAAAGGTCTTAGGTCTAACGCCATTCCAAGAAATGACGCAACCAAAATCAAGAAGGCTTACCAGAGAGGCTGATAACATCCATGTCCGGAAAATCATTTTGAATGTAGTCCAAGACATTTTGCACACCTTTAGAGACCATGTTCATCCCCATTGCATCTCCAGTGGTGCAGCAAAATCTCATGTAGAGATTTCTCCCTACAAGTGCACATTGGATATCTTGAAGTCTTGCAAATCTACTTGATCTGTATAAATTAAAAAAAAAAAATGAAAAGAATCACCATATGCACTAACCATTATTATGTTTAGATACAATGAATTGATATCATATTTTAGGTAGGATTTAAGCAAGATTTAGCTTAAATCGTGCCAAATGATATTTCGAGGATTTTGTAGTTCTGACAAATCTCATTTCAACCCCATTATTTATTAAATCTATGATTTATTAAATCCCACCATCACAACTTTTAATGGATTTAAGCATTCCTCTCTCTCTAAAAAAACTTAATTTATGAAATAAATAGTCAAACAATTTTTAAGTATTAATCTTTTACTGCATTTGGAATTACATGATATACTAAATCCTACTTGAGTTAAATCTTACTAGTAGCCAGCCAGCCTCCAAGGACGCAGGCTCGATGAAGAATAGCAGACAATAACAAGCATGGGAGGGGAAGGGTGGGTGGTGTAGGGATAGAAAAATAAAATAATTGAACAGCAAAGAGAAAATAAATCCGCTGCACCAGAGTTAACGACATATTAAACAATTAAGTTAAATGCTCATATTTCGAGATTTCAATAGAAGTACTTGAAGGGAGAAAAAAAAGGTGAGAATATTATGGCCAAATTTGATTAGAATGAATTGCTAAATCTTCAGATTTGTTATGAGATGAGTTTAATACAAGAGTTTTAAAATAAATTCAAACATTTTATAATCAATCTTGACCAATTTGATCAATATATCCTGATCTAATTTTTGTCCAACGAGAGGACAAAAAAAACAAAATAAACCCAGCTCAAGACAGCCCAACTAATACTTCCAGTGAAAGCGCCGCAAAACTTGACGTCATATCTAGTTGACCAAAAAAAAAAAAA